GCACTGCCTTCGGCACACCTGGGGCCCATCAAAGCAATGGCTGAACCCTAGCAGTAGTCCCACCGGAGTGCAGAGGTATTTGCTAATTCTGTAACGCTTTAGAAGGGTGGTAACAAAATAGAAAACGCTCGTTACAGAGTGTTTTTTTGGTTTTACAGGACGGAGACTGAATTCTGTGGAGGGGGAACTGCATCCCTCAGTTGTAACACAGTTTGTAAATGAGTTTCTTGACGCACTGTAATTAATTCTCAGATATCACTGGCAAAGGACGCAAGACTACAGACTTTCCAGCTAGGAATTCCGGGCTTAAACACCACTGGGGATAACTAGCTTTTGGCACTGAGACTCTGTAATGATTTACTGTTAAGCAGAAGAATGATACAAGATTTAGGAAAAGACTCCTTCCAGCCTTACAAAAATAAATGTAGTGTCAGAACAAACTGAAGTCTGCGTATAAATGAGTGCTCAGTTGGCTTTATTTATACAACCTTGTAACACAATGCTCCAGTTTAAGGATATAATTAGGAGCATTGTGTTAGACAGCTATAAAAATACAGACTACCAGACAGTTGTTAAAAGAGATACTTAGTACTGCTTTGTTCATAATGACAGATTGCAGACAAAACCCCATGCGGCTTAAGCACAAACTCTTGAATGATGACATATTGTTGCCCGTTTTTCTTTCCATATCTTTTGAGACTTAATTTTCACACAATCACAGAAAGTTACTTTATTTACCAGACATTTTTGTGTATACAAACAGAACAACTCAGCTGGCCATCACAAAAAAAGAAAAAAATTATTTCCTCTGCAAGTGTGTTCCCCCTTTAATGGCAAAGTACAATATCCATAAATTTTACTGGTCAGATGACATTTCTCTATGTATTCCTTCTCACTGTGGCACGCAATGACCCCCGACCAGAAGCATTTCTGTCCTGTGCATTCTGGTCTTCATTGTGGTTATTCTGCCAGTGGATGCAGTGTTCAGTAAATGTCCTTGTGAGCATAAAGATGCCAGATTGTGTCAGAGAGGCAGAGGAAGCTGGGAAGGTTACAGACTCCTCCCGGCCCTGGGATTCCTTCAGTACTCCCTGCTGTGTGCTCTTTTCCCTTGGTCAGACCATACCATAGAGCTAACACTGGCAATACATGACTGGGGGGGGGGGCAGTCTGCCTTATGCCTACATGCAGACCTACTGTGAGACTTCGCCCTGAAATGTTCAGAGAAAAAGTCAAAACTACTGGGTACATACCACTTAACAGTGAATACACTGGAAGCCCTCAGATACTTGAATGGGTAGAGAGCGTTTCCATGTGCGGATGGACCCTCTTAGGGGATGATTTCCTCCGCAGCTGCTCTCTGCTGTCCTGGGCTCCGTGGAGCCTCTCCAAAGCAGGAAGAACGGACAGGACAGTGCACATGAGTGGGTAGAGTAACGAGGGGAAACAGAAAATGAGAGTTTGAGAGAGAAAGGGATTTCCTGGCTTGTTAAATCTGATCCCTTGTTACATAACTGATTTTCTTCATCTGTCTTGAACTTCAGCCTAGTCTGCAATCTCAAGCGGACAGGGGACAAGCACCTAAATGGTCAGCTCTGCCAAGATGGCTGGGCATGCACCATCATAGAATTTTTATTCTCTGCAATTTCAAGCCAACAGGAAAAAAATTCTGCAAATCTGTCTCCTAAATGTGAGAGTCTAAATTGCACCACAGATGTATGAAATGTTGTTTGATATTTTGCCCTAAGTACAATACTATAATAATACCATACTCTAAGGCAATAACTTCATTTTTTGCATTTTTACACTTCTTCACATTTCTGTTACACTGTTCTCAAGGTCATCCAGTTTCTCTTGTGTGCTGCTCTATACTGATGAGGACTCTCAGCTCTGCACCATTAACATATTCCTACTTTTTGTGCCAAGGATCATAATGAAAAATATTAAATATGGCCTCTCCTAGAACATACATCATCCCGTGAAGATGCTTCAACAGAGATCATCTAGTCTAAAATGACTTTGTTTTCTAGTGACTGCATTATTAGCCCCAAACACCCCTCATTTTTAAACACAGGGATCTCTTTTAGGTATGCTGTGAAGCAGCAGCGTCCACATGGTCAGGAACGCAGGCAGACAGCATGATTACGGGGCCTCAGCATGGATTTTCCCACTCTCTTGTCACCAGTGCTCTAAGTAACTCCATGCAACAATATCGCTTTCCCTCCCCTACCTAGCTTCACTCCTACCTCCACCAGCAGCAGAATAATTCAGAAAAGGAAGCCTGTGTGAAGAGCTGCCTTGCGTTCCCCTTTCCCCAATCACTCTGTTTCAACACGGACATTTACAGCTGCGCTTTGGAATAATGTAGAACACAGTGAGGAATGTTTTCATGTACTGTGTGCACACCTGACTTCTCTGTAGTCCATAAAGTGAGACAGAAAGCACATGCATTTACATGCAATAAATGTGGTTCTTCTTATTTGTGGTTTATTTTCTTTTAGTTCATAGCCTCTCAGACATTTTCAGCAGCACAAAAGCTACAAGAAAAGGTACCTTCCCCATCCTTATGCACGACAAAGAGAAGCACGGGCAGGTTAAACAGAACTTGTCTGGAGTTATTTGTACTGTAGTATTTAATACTGGTCAATGCAGTATAATACTCCATTCTGAATATGCCGGAACGCGTGAGTCTCAGGCGAATTTGATGTTACTAATCTCCGTTTTGCTTCCATGTCACTCAGGGGCAAAACAAAACACTCACTAATTTTAAACGGTGGAAATGAATCCTCAGCCCGGCCTGGACCGGCATCCAAACACGTTCATAACGCGCTGTCTTTGTTAGCAACGACGGCCCAATAAAAACACATCACGGTTCCACAGCCGAGGGAAACGCCGCACTCCGTCTCCCCGCAGCCGTGCCGTGCGAGCGGGGACCGCCGCGGGGCACGGCCGGAGGCACCCACCTAAGCCCCCCTCAACCCCGCTGCCGGCCTCCGTCCCGATCCCTTCGCACCGAGGGCCCGGCGCCCCGCCTCACCGCCCGCCGCGGGCCACAACGCGCCCGCTCCCGCAGAAGAGCGGCCACGGGGCCGAGAGAGGCGGCGCGACGCCTCCGCCTCCCGCCCTCCCTGACGGAGCGGACCGGCGGCGGACCGGCGGCAGCGCTCCG